ATTACTAATGGGTGTCAGTAGGCTTGCGATGGTCGCGAAACTTATGAACTCTTCGACGGGAGTCCTGACCGGATGCCTTTTTGATCTCAATGTCATCAATAAATCTTAGCCAGCTGAATGGTCTCAAGGGGCAGCTGCTATCAGCTTTGATTCCAAGTGTCCCATAAACACGTTGGCGTATATTGTTAAGGCCCTCTTGGTGCCCATAGCCGTACCACTGACTTGTAATTAAAGTTTCCCCTTAAATGTGAAATTGTTCAACGTGAGAACAAACCTCAACAGTTCTACCAGACTATCTGTGGAATGATGTTTAATATTACGTGTGTCCCACGCAGTACGACAATCTAAGAAGCCGTTCTCATGTGGGATATTGGTGTAGATGGATACAACATCCATAGATTCAAAGAGGGTAGATTATTACATGGTGTCTTGTTACGCTAGTCTGTAGGACGCCGTCAATTGTGTTTCGGAAATCAGGCTCTAACGACATCGTAGACCGTAGCAGTGAACTCGATGTCATCCAAATAGACCGACACGCGCTTCAGTAGGAGAAAGATGAAGTTTCTAATCTCTGTAGTATAAACGTATCTGTAATAGGGCCAAATCAAATTACAAATCTAGTAATCTCCCTCCCTCAACCACAACGGCAACAACGGGATAACATGACGGCGATGGAGCGAAATACGACGACAACAGAGCGTCACTAATCTTGCCCCCTTTAGTTGTTACTGGTTCTATAAAATATACATTTTGAATTTTAATCCACCCAGTGATGCATACAAACAGCCCGTAAAGTAGGAACAACCAACTTCGTCATGTTTAATGAAAGCAATATAAAAGTATTTGAAAATTTTCCCAAAAGTATGGTTTGCCGTCCCCCAATTTCAAAATATCTTTGACACAAATGAATCACGGTTATTTATACATAATCGCCTATTGTATCATCCTCGATGCTCCTAGGGGTATACTTACTGACGCTCTCTGCAAGAGAAGGTAAAGTGAAAAGTAGGTAGACCGGGTGGCACCGGGTCATACCTCTTGGCTAGATGCTATTGTATCAGCATTCTAGGTTTTGTGCTTATTTAATATGTTCTGATGGTTCACCCGAGGAAGAGTTATACAGCCATTCAAAATGAACAGCAGCAACGCTGGACTCTCGAGACCAGCAACAAACTTTTTAAAGTACATGAACAACCAAAACTTAAAACATGTGTTCTCAGTCGGAAAGATCGTAGAGAGGAAGTTGTCCTCTCTCGGCTCCGAACTGGGCACACTTATCCTACTCATTCGTACCTTTTAAGATCCACCTACATGCCACGCATGTGGCACTCTATTTACAATGGAACTTTTTTTAATAGAATGTTCCGATTTAAACATATTCGTGAAAACTACTTTCGAGTCCCGGATATGAAAACTCTTTTCAGTTCCCTGGACTCGAAGGCATTATTAATTATTCGAGGTAGCAGTGATAAATAAATAATCTCCTGATGTATTCAGACTATGTTTCAGTCTGTTTCACTCAGTTCAGCACCCGGTATCTATGATTACTAATACATAAAGTTATATTTATTGAAAATGGGTAAAATATGTTTTCATTCATTACACTATTTTATATGTTTTTTTCCCCACTTGATTCAGCATATAGATTAAGTTAGAAAAGTCAATTATGTCAATAAATTTTATTTCCATAATTACAGCTGTAGAAAATCACATTTTTTCTAGAGAAATATGTTAAATGAACACTTTCTTAGGGTCACTGTCAATTCTAGGCGAGGAAAGTGAACAACGGTTGCTATTGTGTCGTTTGTCTGATGTTTCAGAATATCTGACATTTCGGTGCTGTTCATAAGTTACGGGAAGTGTGTGTTGCTCGTTTGTTGTTGTGATAGGTTTCCTGGTGTTCATTTTGATATCAGTGAGCCTTGATGCTGTCATAGATGCCCATTGATGACGTCATAGTTATGATGACATCACAGTAACTATGACGTCATAAAACAAGACAGAAACATCATAGTATCACTGTACTGTTTTGTTTGTCACATGCACAGGATCTCAAAGCATCATATTTCACCCCAAATGAAAAATGTATTCATGAAAACTGCAAACCTGTTCAAGTTTTCATTTTTCAGATTACCTCCCTTGTTGGTAGTTTGAGAGCTGAATTGGTTAAAATTCACCCGTCAGGAGAATTCATATTACTCGGTCACTATCAAAGTGAGAAAGAAAATGGATACATCTTTTGTTCATTGTGTCATTTTCCAGACATTTACAGTACAGTAGCGTACGATAGCCATGGGTGATATTTTTATACAATGAATAAACCCTGTAACATTGCATGTATAGCAATAAAAAAAAAAGAATCAGCACTAAAATTGGCATTTACATAATGAAGTGGACTACGTGGGCTTCATAAGTTTTCCAAAAAAAAATCGAATTTGCTTTTAGACTACTGTTTTGGGCATTTTCATATCTGTGCCTACACAACAAAAGCTGTCTTTTCATGTAGTCTATTTTTGTACTCAGCACGCGTGTAATTATTGCGAAAAATCCACCGGAATGACCTTTACTATAACGTGAGTATTTCTGTTACCGAGAAGGAGATATTTTATTTCAGACAGGTTTTAAGAAAAATAATTACTACATGGGGACTCAAATTTTGGGTTAAAAATCACGATATTTAGCATTTTTTCTGTTTTTTTTTATGTTGTAACCATGGTTTTCACAAGTCTTGGGAAAACAGTTTTTGAAAAAAAATCAGTTTTCTTAACGAAATGTATTCAAAATGTAGTTTATAAATATATCTATATATGTAGATGTGTTGTGCAAGTTGAATCAACTATCCATGTTTATCTGAGACATGCCCTTTATTTTTAGGATCAGGCCATTTATATTGTACTCTGCTACCTGAAGGACAACGATCTATTCTATAGACTCTGACGTCTTTTTACTCACCTTACCCTCTCTGGTGTTATATATATAATCTTTGCCATATATTCATTTCTATCTGTTTTTATCTTCGCTACTCACATGTTTGTTTGAAACAAAAAAAATAAAATACGATAGCCCTAAATGACCACAGTTGTCGATAGGCCGTAAAACACAAACAAACATACACGCAAACAGCCCGTAAAGTAGGAACAACCAGTTTAGTCCTGTTTAATAAAAGCAATATTAATGGATATGAATTTTTTCAAAGAATATGGTATGCCGTACCCCACCCTTTCAAAACATCTTTGACACAAATGAATCACAGTCATTTATACATGATCGCCTATTGTATCATCCTCGATACTCCATGGGTTATGCAAACTTACGCTTTCTGCAAGAGAAGGTAGGGTGGTAAGTAGGTAGACCGGATGGTACCGGGTCATAACCCTTGGCTAGATACTTTGTACCAGCATGCTAGGTTACCTGGTTATTCAATAGGTTCGGAAGGGCTATCCGAGAATGAGTTGTACGTAATATGGTAATTTTTGGATTGGTTATTCTTATATTTCATGTATTGAACCTAACGAAAACGTGCAAAAATAACCTTTCGTAAAAACGCGTAAATGTCACTTTTGTCAAGTTACTTTTTAACTCGTTCGAACAACTGTTTATCTCGATCGTTCAATATTTTTATCTCTTTGCACGACTTTTATCTCGTTCTTACGGCATTTTATCTCGTTCATACATGTAGGACTTTTTTTAACTCGTTCGTACACCTTTTTCCCCATAAATATAATGGTTCACTGTGTGTGCTAGGAATTGAAAAAAGAAGACTTTTTTAAGACTTTGGCGAGCTCCTTTGGTTACTCAGAAGTATAAAGAAAGGACGCTGATACTTGAACTTTCACTTGATCTCCAATGTATTTAATTAATCTAAATATATTTTTCACAAGGGTGGGCATTGGGAAAAAATTTTAGAATGTGTCTCGCTCGCTGGAACTCGCGAAAGCAATAATTTCTTCTGTATTTGCCATTTTTATAAAAAAAAAAATGTATTATTTTATGAACAGTAAAGTTTAATACCGTTATAGCAAGTTATGAGCTTTTGTGTAGTAGCCATCAATCAATCCCTTACACATGCTTATATTTAAGCTTTGAGATCAGTATACTTGAATGAAACTAAAACACACAGTGAAAACAATGGATTGTTTTTATTCAAAATATCTTCATGATATTATACAGACAGAAACATTGGACACAGTCATGATCAAATATAGAAATCATATATTGGACGGAAAGATAAAAATATAACATTACATCAACTGTAATGTTTATCATACATAGGTTACTGACATGAGACCAGCTCATGGATATTATGTCATAATAAATTCAGACTGCTTCAAAAAAACATTCGTCATTTTTAACAATTGATTGTAATACTTCTAACTTGAATCACAGAAACTCTACCCATAAAGGGTCATGTAATCATAGATACATTCTTGACCCCGATATATAGGGTTTTAACAAGATGTACATTTTGATTTGTCAATGTACTATATATTGACAGATCGATAACAATGGGAGGTAACTCCGATAGGGATGACGATATCTACATATTTATCACAGACCACATAAAAAAGCGTTTCTAAAAAATGTTCTATTATAAATATACAAAAGCCTGCATAACAATTGATGACAACTACACATACTTGACATACATTCCAGTATAAAGAATACAACTTGATGGGAATGATGGTTTTACCCTAAAACAAATGTACATCAATTTCAAGCCCTCTCATATTTATCCTTTATTTGTTTGTACCATGTATATTTCAAGATTTGCTGGTAAGTATGTGGTGATGATTGGCGGATGATACGGGTTGTATGTATCACGTGATCATCAGTATCTATCACAGTTTAACAATAATACGTTGACTGTACAATACTCATATACAAAATGCAGGGCGCCGTATCATTTGATATATAAAATATAAACTTTATTTATTTTACAACAATTATGAAACAAGTTATTTCAACATATACTAATCACTCTTGTTGGCCCGGATATTAGCGCGCGAGGGTCTTGTTGTGGGAGGAAACCGGAGTACCCAGAGAAAACCCACGTGGTCGGGCAGGTGACCCCATATCATTTGATTACAAATATAATCGTCGTAATGCGGAGAGGAATTTGAACCATTTCTTGGGCCCGAATTATAAATTTAAAACATTATCGTGTTAAAAACTTAGTTATATGTCGAGAACATATTTTTTAGACTAATTCGCCGAATTCTTGTGGCGAGACAAAATGATAAAATATTTCAATTTTTTTTTTCTCACTTAACTTTGAAACGTACAGAATGTCAGTATTAGGATGAGAACCGCCCCCCAATGATGTACCCGGTATTCTTGTTTTCTTTTTTCAAAGCCTGTGTTTTGTTTAAAAAAAAATTGATTTTCAAGTTTTCATAAAATACGAGAACTTATGACTGACAACACTAAAATGATCGATGAAAGACATATAGGTATGATGTAATACATTGAGAAACATGTCATAACACTAAGAATGGTTTACTATCGTGTTTAACTGAAAACATACATCAACAAACACATTGATAATACTATACACGTGTGAATTTAGCAGCCTGACAAAGAAACAATCAGGAAACACTCATTTTGAGTCATCCAATCCAATCTGTAGGAGGCAGTATATGAGTAATAACATACACATCATCTGTATTACCTCTCTTATTAAAGGATATAGTCTCAAGAACACAGACAATTGAGCAATGTAAATTAAGATATTTTATATTAAGTATAGTAACATTTGGTTCCGGTTAAAACTACTCAGACCATTTCATAGAAATAATAACACTTCTAAAACGTTAAAAGAATGGAAGGCCTTTAAGGTAACGTGCAGATCGGTCGTATTGAATACTTCTAGACTAGGTTGATCCTAATCCAAAAAAACATTTAACATAAATGTAGGATAGAAGGTACAATATTGATGGTATAAAATTGCATTCTATGAATTAGATTCATTACCACCTTAGATGTAATAATGATAAAAATATCTGTACTAAATAAATATGTTTCAATGGCTAAAATATTAGAAAAACAAGAGACTTATTTTCGAAATCTGTCTTGCTCAAGAAACATAAGACATTATGGAATTTATAGCGAATTTTCGAGGCTAACTTCCGACACATGCTACTTATATATCAGCTCGTATTATACTCAACCTCAACTTTAATTGTAAAACGTATGGACAAGAACACAAAATAATTACAGTAACAGACAGCTTTACATTGCAGGGTCACATCAATAAGGAATTGTCACAAACGGAGACAAATCACACAAGTATACATATAAATGTTCAAAAGTAGCAAACGAGTATTCAAAATAAATTACAGTAACGCATCAGAAATCCAACTCATAAGAAATACCCTGAAGAACAGGCTGAAAGTTGTATTCGCTAATGTACTGTTTCAGTAGGGCTTCCGACATCCAGTCACACTATTCCAGTGTTTTAGGATACATTTATTCATATTGTATTCATGCATGTCCCATTAACCCAGAAGTTGTGTAATCTAGTTACTTAGCTGTGAACAATGGTGGCTGTATTAAGGATGCCATACTGTACACAGGTACTGCATTTAGGTTATTGGTTTTTCATATTGAACTGCGTGATTGGTGCACGTGAGTGTTCAAAACTCCAGAGGTTTGGCCGGTTGTGCTGTATGTGTTGTGGTGCTTGTGTTGATTCTTGGCGTTTCATCCCAGTCTGTGTTGTTAACCAAGATTTTTGGTGTTCCTGCTCTGGAGCCACTAGGGGAGGGACTCCGGTACACAGGGGGAGCCTGAAAGTAGTCAAAAGGCGACGTGTGGATTTTCAGTGATATACACGTGTAATGTAAGTCAGACGAACAATGCATGTACAGCAAAGGTGTACTACAAAGATACTTAGCATGCGTGTTTGGTAAAAAGTGCAAATCAAATACAAATCTGAAGCACTATTGATAAAAAACGTTGGAATGATATTACGATTATTTGTGAAATAATAGTGACCTATAAAAACGATATTTGACCAAGAATATAGTGACGGGATATTAACCACACAATTGATTTTGTGACATGATGCACAAGAACAAACTGTACACTAATATGTGAATTTCAAAACACAGTCACAGTTCATATTGTTATCATTAGTCGATGTACAGTTCAAAATGCTAATGAATTATACTATATGTAATTGCTCATGATATTAGTTAATAAACTTGGGTACAATAATCGAAATAACAAGTAGATACTTAAAAATTATTTAACGAAAAAAAGTATACACACACACACATACTTTTGCTTACGACATATACACGAACAAAAATTTCTTGTCATTTAACAAAAAACTTTTATGAAGAAAGTTTCACTATTAGCAGTGCTGCATCACAACTGATCTAAGTTGTTTTACTCAGTAAACTAAACCATTTAGAAAGAGAAAGTGTCATTGTTTACAACGGAAACTTTAACTAACACGAACACGTCTAATTATGTATTCCTGACTTATATACTCCGAGGGTTGTGGATATCGACATTCCTTATATTCTAAATATAAATGGTCCTATATGTTAGTCATGACAGTATTTGTATAATTGGTGGTATACAGATAGTCCAAACAGTCCTGTTATCACTAGTCCGAACAGTCCTGTTATCACTAGTCCAAACAGTCCTGTTATCACTAGTCCAAACAGTCCTGATATAAATTGGCCTTAAAGCCCCATATTCCTAATAGTCCTAATACAAAGAGCGTTCATAGTCCGTATAACACTGATAGAAATATAAAAAGCAGCAATGCCTACAACAGAAATCTAATAACTATTATAATAAATCAAAATTAATGTGCTGATTGAACACTCACGTACTAATAGTCCTGAAAATAATACAAATATGACACTACTTATCATGATGTCGCTAATCACTCGTCTAAAATAATTAACATACGAGTACAACTGTGTGAAAGTGTTCAGTTAACATATTCATTTTAGAGGTAATTATATTTTAGCGGCGGTATATGTACATTTTGTGTATTTAGAAACGCTTAATTATGAAAATAGCTAAACACGAAATAATTTTATTCCTGCCTGATATCTGAAGTAGCGCTAATTCATGGTTCAAATAACACGTTAAAAAATCACTGACGCGACGCGCTGAAATACCGGTGCGTTAATTTAATAGCACGTTTACATGATGCATAATGACAATTATAATGATTAGTAAAAAAACGCTTTCCCTTTTTTGTCTTTGGTTATATTGTCCATTATATCAGGACACAATGGAGTTAATAAAGGAAAGCATACATATAGCATTCCACAAAATAGCAAGCATGCTGTTAGTTGAAGGCAGTTTTTCCGATGATCCGTTTTAAAGCTTAAATGGGAGGAATGACAGATTAAAATAGAAAGAATACACGGCTATGTATATGGAATGTTGATAAAGAAACGTGTTTAAAGGCAGGGAAAGTAAAGAGATCGATACATTCCATATCATCTTTTGATTAGCTACACCACTAAACTTCCAGCATATACTAATAAAACAAATAGGAACTATTAAAAAAGAATATTTGTTATTTCAGAAACTATTTCTGTTCTTTTTATAGTTTCTAGGGTTGAGTATTGGTTCTGTAACTACCGACTGACAAATTATTTGTTTATACATGGAAAGGATCTTTTTCCTCTGGCATTGCAGGGACTGGATCATCGGAAACTACAGGCCCGTCGGCATAAAGATTATGTGGACTCGGGCCAGGGCAGGGCTCTACCTCTGCTTCCATCTTCTTGGATTTCGTCTTTGTCTCGTTCACAGTTGAGAGCGTCTCTTTTTTCCGAGCAGCTGGCTTTTCCCCCGTCAGCTCATAGACCCTCGCCATTAGGAACTGCTTGTCTCGACTCTCCTGTGGAGGAGTAAAGTACATTAGAACATAAGGTAAAGCGTCAAAACTGTCTACTATAGACAACAACAGGAACACAGAAGACAAAAGTAAAGAAAATTATTCACGAATATTTAAGGATCCCGTTACCACTGCCAATATCTATAACAAGTATTGGCAACTGTTTTTATTTCTACAAATGATCAAAAACTGGTATAAATGAGGAAACAAATGTCCATAAAGTGATAGAATATAATGGCAACACTTGATAACTACCATAAAGTTATAGAATATAATGGCAACACTTGATAACTACCATAAAGTGATAGAATATAATGGTAAGACTTGATATCTACCATAAAGTGATAGAATATAATGGCAACACTTGATAACTACCATAAAGTGATAGAATATAATGATTGGTAACACTTGCCATCATGAGTTGCTCTTCCAGCATTTTGACGACGTTGTTGTAAGCCGATCCTCTCGCTGAACAGAAGTATATAACAATTCTACAAAACAACAAAAGAATTGTATTAAATGGCATGTTATTCCATAAAATGTACTTTTTAATCAATATTTTTTTTATTACATTTGTATGTCGCTGCAGATTGCTGATACTTGGATAATCATAAAAATGGTTAATATTCGTACTTTTATTGTTATTTTTACTGCATCAAACATTATCGCTACTATACTAAATCACATTTTGTAACGTACATCTAGGTATGTAATGATAAGAACAACGTGATTAAAGCGATAGTGTTTCCATCGAAACATTTTTTATTGTTAGGGTGAGCTATATATCAAATGTATCTAAAAGTATGGTAAAAACACTTCACTTACATTAAAGCAACCAGGACTGTCAGCACTGCTGAGGCTGATGTGATCAGTGACACAAGATTGTTTAACGATGTGGGCAGATTAGAGATTGTCGCATCAATGATACTCGACATTTGAGTGCTGTAGATCCGGAATGGTCCACAGCCAGTCGATGGTCGTATACTGGAACATATACGATATATAACTGCCACTGTATTTAAACTGTTTAACAATGTATCATTTATGTGCTTTAGACATGTTCATTTACAGAAGAAATAGTAATAGAATTGGCTGATAGAACATGGATACATCATAGTGATAACCTGAATGAATTACACACAGAAAACGGCTGGGAATGAAAAAGAGAATATGACATTAGAACAAAGAATAATAATCTAGTAATAATTAACATATGATAGCGTATCTAATGAAAATGATTTGGAAACAAGTACTAAATGTACGTATGCATAGTTCTTCTAATCGAGTGTAAAGTACCTAATGCACGTATACATAGTTCTTTTAATCGAGTGTAAAGTTCTAATAGTACGTATACCTATGTCTTCTAATCGAGTGTAAAGTTCTAAATGCATGTATACATAGTTCTTCTAATCGAGTGTAAAGTTCTAATAGTACGTATACATAGTTCTTCTAATCGAGTGTAAAGTTCTAAATGTATGTATACATATGTCTTCTAATCGAGTGTAAAGTACTAAATGTATGTATACATAGTTCTCCTAATCGAGTGTAAAGTTCTATATGTATGTATACATAGTTCTTCTAATCGAGTGTAAAGTACTAAATGTGTGTATACATAGTTCTTCTAATCGAGTGTAAAGTTCTAAATGTATGTATACATAGTTCTTCTAATCGAGTGTAAAGTTCTAAATGTACGTATACATAGTTCTTCTAACCGAGTGTAACGTAACAAACTCTAAGCTTCATGTTAAATTTCCAATGACACTTTTGGGAAATGAATATATATTGTATTAATACTTAATAAAGTTGATTTGAATCTACTTTTTTAAAAAGGTCAACCGTACCAAAATATTCAAGCTAACACTCCAACCGCTTTGGTCAACGTAAACATTGCTGAGCTATATCTATCTGCGTCATTAGTTTCTGGAAGATATGTATTCATATGGATTATAGATATTGCTTCAAATCAACATACCTGACCATGGTATAGCCAACTGGAAAAACTGACAGGAAAAATGCCAACAGCAGGATACCTATGAAGAAACTGTTAGTCCTCGAGGCTCTGTACGGCTTTTCAGGGGGACCAGTGGTTTTCATAGCTGATAACTGAAACATCGATAAAACAAAATCTGATCTGCATTTTCACCATATCACGCGGCAGTCAAAAGTCAATAAAAAATGTTTAACTGTGATTATTATATTGAAATATATCGAGAGATGAAAGAAATAGACCAAAAAAGTTAAAAAAGAAAAAAACAAAAACAGTTTTGAGTTGTTCCCCTTTGCCTAGGAAAAACAATATGAAATTGACCATTAATATTGTAAATAATATTTAGTTTTTCATTATTGATTCACGGCTTTTTTCAAATCTAATAGTTACTATATGTGTTGGAAATCTGCTGAATGTAACACACTTAATCTTACTTACGTATTTCAAAAAGAAAGACACCAAAAAACTGATGACTGTCATTGATGTAATCAATGGGCAATACAGCAGGCCTATCCTGAAAACAGAAAACCATAACAGATAAACTTACGTGTATATGGGGAAAGCTCAATATATCTAGAAATGTACTGTTATTTAGCTCAACTTGGAAAAGGTTAGCATTTTATAATTTTGTTGATCTTCTGCCCGTACAGATATATACAATATATAGTTTAATGTTTTTTCACCATCCGTTATCATTTATTATGCCTAATCCATGTTATTTTGTAACCCGTACAGACATAAACTGTCTAGTTCATGGTTTATATAATTTGTACAGAAAACAACAAACAGTTCATAGTTTGTCGTTATCCTTACCAACACAGCATCTGGGAGTACACCAACTCTAATACACTTTTCGGAATGTCGAATACAGCAGGACCAATCTTCTTGAGCAGCTTACTGTCACATTTTGATGTTAATAACCTAAAATAAACGATGCAGTTTGGTTTAGATTCTGATCATCTAGATATTACCAAGTCATAAAATGTGGACAGAATTAATTCGTATTAAGATATCGATAAAAAAACAAATTTAAGGATAATTTAAAGGCAATACACAAACACAAGATAATTACTGATTATTAAAGAAAACACTGTACATAAAAGATCCCATATTTAGCTTCAGTAGATTATCATCATTTTCTTTTCATTTCCAGTTTTAGACTACTTGATTCTATCACTTTGACCTGTTTTATCTCATGTCATGCTTGTAAGATGCGATTTGTATGGGCCTTTCTGGTGAATCCGGAGTTTACTTTTGTCCTGAAGTTGAGGTGACCAAGGATGGATATTCAAAATGAGAAAACATGTTAAGTTAGAGAGAGAACCACTTACATTCTTGGTCCCTCCACTGCCAGTATGGCGACAACGTGTATGAGGAAATCCGTGACCACGAGCTTGTAGAAAGTCTGTCCAACGTAAGTCTCCCAACACTGCAACAGTTAACGGTTATCAATGGTACAGCATGGTACAGGAATACCGATTATAATACGTAATAAAAAATGTGTTCACAATAAAAAGAACTGAAATGAAGTAAGTTTAAGTGAGTTTCGCGGAACTCGTGAAGGACTAATGAACGAGTTTTTTCTCCACATATTCAAGCAAAGCATGTGCATTTGCACGTTCTGAATTCATTTAAACTGAAAATTGAAAATTTAAACACGCATTTTTTTCATCTTTTGTATCATTGGATGATATATCATACGTGACATATTGAACATTTATGTGACACTTCGTATCAGTACCATGATAAACAGTGCTAAAAGAACCGTTTCGCTCACTGGGTACATAATCTTATCCTTAACTTTGGATATCATTTACTTAGCACGTATTTTGTATATATGTATTATATACTCAGAAACTTAGTAAAAATCAATATATCAAAAATAAAACTGGAGTTCGAAAATCGAAGTGAAATTGGACTGTATTGTACCTACATGAACATTGCATTGGATTGTAAATTGTACTGTATTGAAAACCGTATTGTTGTATATATACACCAATATTTAGATGGGAGGCGATACTCAATGCTAGACCTACAGTAATGGCGGTACACGTGTCCGGAATCCCGACGTTACAGGTAGTCGTCCTAGTGCCACACGTGATTATACTGTACATGGATATAATCAGTACAGCCAACGAGGCGAGTTTCAGGAACACGATTCTGTCAACAAGAGAAATGACACTTCATACAGAACAATATACTGCAAAGGTATTTGATTTCGTGTAAAAAAAAACATTTTTTTAGCGGGCATTAAAGTTCGTGTAATTTTTCACTGGTTTATCAAAGGTACAGTCTTGTTCGGTAACATGTTTTTCAAACATAGTTACATTTTTTTTGCATTGTTACATGAATCCTAAAAAAACCATATAAATACAGATATAGTGCAAAAAGCAAGTGAGTTCTAGCACAAAAGAACTTATACAATAAAAACAAGAAAATACGAAATGAAGGCAAAACCGTAACTCGAACATGACGAAACTTGTGTTAATAAAGAAGAAAGAACTAACACGAATATAACTCAAAAATACTAGGAGACTAGGTGTTTCTAATGAGTTTGTGTCGTTTGTTTCATCGAAAACACCCGCCACGTACATTAAGGTATAAACCAAGTGATGCCTAGTCCTCAAAGTGAGATTTGGGATAGTAAAACAGTCAAACTGGAATAGTAAAACAGTCAAACTGGAAAAGTAAAACAGTCAAACTGGAATAGTAAAACAGTCAAACTGGAATAGTAAAACAGTCAAACTTGAAAATTAAAACAGTAAAAACTGGAATAGTAAAACAGTCAAACTGGAAAAGTAAAACAGACAAACTGGACTGGTAAAACAGTCAAACGGTAAAAGTAAAACAGTCAATCTGGAAAAGTAAAACCGTCAAACTTGAAAATTACAACAGAAAAAACTGGAATAGTAAAAAAGTCAAACTGGAATAGCAAAACAGTCAAAACTGGAAAAGCAAAACAGTCAAACTGGGATAGTAAAACAGTCAAGCTTGAAAAGTAAAATAGTCAAACTGGAAAAATAAAACAGTCAAACTGGGATAGTAAAACAATCAAACTGGAATAGTCGAACTGGAAAAGTGAAACAGTTTAGCTGGAATAGTAAAACAGTCAAGCTTGAAAAGTAAAATAGTCAAACTGGAAAAGAAAAACAGACAAACTGGAAAAGTAAACCAGTCAAACTGGAATAGCAAAACAGTCAAAACTGGAAAAGTAAAACCGTCAAACTTGAAAATTAAAACAGTAAAAACTGGAAAAGTAAAACCGTCAAACTTGAAAATTAAAACAGTAAAAACTGGAAAAGTAAAACCGTCAAACTTGAAAATTACAACAGAAAAAACTGGAATAGTAAAGCAGTCAAACTGGAATAGTAAAGCAGTCAAACTGGAATAGCAAAACAGTCAAACTGGAAAAGAAAAACAGTCAAACTGGAATGGTAAAACAGTCAAACCGGAAAAGTGAAACAGTTTACCCGGAATAGTAAAACAGTTTAACTGGAATAGAAAAACAGCCAAACTGGAATAGTAAAAAAGTCAAACTGGAATAGGAAAACAGTCAAACTGTAAAAGTAAAACAGTCAAGCTGGAATAGTAAAACAGTTTAACTGGAATAGTAAAACAGACAAACGGGAAAAGTGAAACAGCTGAACTGGAATAGTAAAACAGTTTAACTGGAATAGTAAAGCAGTCAAACTGGAATGGTAAAACAGTCAAACTTAAAAGTAAAACAGTCAAGCTTGAAAAGTAAAATAGTCAAACTGGAAAAATAAAACAGTCAAACTAGAATAGTAAAACAGTCAAAACTGGAAAAGTAAAACAGTCAAACTGGAAAAGTAAAACAGTCAAACTAGAATAGTAAAACAGTCAAACTGGAAAAGTAAAACAGTCAAACTGGAATAGTAAAACAGTCAAACTGCAAGAAATACTAACGAGCATAAACTAAAACGTGTACATTCAAATCGCTCAAGGAAACTTTCCGACTGAGATTATAATGTCAGCCGTAACATTTGCCGCTAGTCTTCATCAACCTCGTCTCTGGAAACCCGGTATTGTAAGTTTGTCAGTCAGCAAGCAACATGTATCAAGGAAATAATCTGACCAGGGTGATATTCTGAGCAAGGAAATATTCGGAGAAAGATGATATTCTAAGCAAGGAAATATTCGGAGCAAGATGATATTCTGAACAAGTTTATATTCAGAGCAAACAAATTAACACTTAATCAACTCGAGATGAAAACACCTTAGTTAGACGGAAGCATAGATGTTACTATCCGAAACGGAATGGGATATTTCGTATGTCTGATTACCCTTTTGAGATACAAATCAATTGTACTAGAGGAACTGAAACAATACAGAAAAAGCCACAAAATATAACATCAAATCAGTATGTCGAAAACCGGAGATAGAACGAGTATAGACATACTGACTTATTTAAAACGTTAGTAGTTACGCACTTGTTTCATACGTTCTGTCTATAACCCTACCTTATCAAGTGTAACTTCATGGCAAACTGAGTAGTATAGTCCTCGAACTTGATCAGGACTTCGAAAATGATAGGTAAAAGTCCGTTGAGAGCTCCTAGTGTAATGGACGGCAGGTACTGTATCAGCAGAAGCACGAAGCTGTCGCTTGACGTCGTCTGTAAAAAACACAATCATTTGGATAAGTTTGACATTTATTGTCTGTTTAACAGGTAGAAGTGTAGAATAATGTCTGTAATGACTCACTGGGATTATTGATATAAATGCAATACGATAATGTAATTTTTAAATATTTAAAGTTCGCATAAAGTGTTACATCCGTTGTTAGACTTGGTTACTCACTTCCCATCAGACCTATATTTTCGTCTTGAAAAAATCGAATCCATACTCGTTACTGACGTCAACGTAAAGAAAAATAATCAGAACCCATCCGACAAGGAATCGTTGTCATGCAGAGAGAAACTTACGAGACTCAAGAACAATTGGGATTGTCGAGTGGATAAATCTGGTGGTCGCTCTACTGTCATCAGCAAACTTACCTCTCAATTATGTTATTCAATTTGTATCTGAGGTGCATGAAAGTATGCTAGTAGAGAATAAATTATTCGGTGGATTAAATTAAATGGACTTAACATATCAGGTTATGGCACCAGAACACTAATAAACCTGTCCCCTGAAAGGGGGTGTTACTAATATGGCTGTGCATATATATATGTGATATACTGTGTGTGATCTATTGTGTGTGATACACTGTGTGTGATACGTTACATGTGTAACATTGTGACTAATACCAGGACATGTTGACACAACGTCCAGTGACAATTTGATATCCAAGGTTTCGAAATCTAAGTTAATTCACCAGGAATCAGATAGAAGATACAACGCAATACACTATCAACTATAAACATACCTAATTTACCATGACGTTCCTTTCACGTTCATGATTACGATTTAAGATGCCCTTTAAAAAGTAATGTGTGTTGCTTTATTCCTTACTGTCTTGAATCTATTTTGAAGCTATCGCAGTTAGTATTTCTGTTTTACAGAATTCTTCCATAACACAAGACTATCTATGACAGCCTACGTTAGTAAAAACAAACAAAATTGATCATTGCAATTTAAGAATTGCAAATGAAAGCCACCGAAAGGCGGGCCAATTGATGGATTTAAAATCACAGTAGGGACATTTAAAAAAACCACCAATAGTTTCGAACGGTATTTCACACAGACATAAAAGCAACAAACACAGCTGTTACAAGGTGCTTCAAATCATTACCACGGAATATATTATTTTAAACCATAGCATTTACTTGACAGCAGAGGAGAAAGTGCTTGAATTATGTGAACAGCAACAGCTAAACTAAAGAACATCAACTTGAAGTAGTCCCGGAATAGAGCGGGAATGCTAGTGCCTTCTTCATAAGATATATCATCAGGTATGGTTTAGACAAAGAAATACAAACCTACCGGCAGGTTTATCTTTACCTAGAACGAGATTCCGAGTTATAGACACTCTTAAAACATTGTCCTTCTACTTCACACAGAGATAACTATTTTTCTTTTCTGTCAATTTTACAAAGTAGCATTTCGATGCAAGTCATTACAGTTGTTCTTCAGTCATCGAAGTGAGAGTTACACCAGTGTTGTTGTGATAACATCCTAGAAGTTCCAAGAGTTAGAATGGTTATACGGAGAACTTTAGTGAGCGAACCTCAGGCCACCTTTGGAATTTTAAAGATGTCAGGATGTCGTGATAGTAGTCTGGACAGAGGGCCAAACAGATTTTTCAAGCAACATCAGTATAGGATATCCTTTATCCCTGCTTGGTAAATCAGAAATGCTATCTGGAATCGTATCACTGGTAACACACGCTTTGTTGTAACCATCAGCAGCGTAAGTACACTAAGCTATTCTGAATAAACCTACATGAACATGTCATCTTTTAAAAGAAACTTACCACAAATATTCATACATTCATACAACAGACATTGTTGATACTACACATACTATATTAACGGTGCAAAATGAAACAGCTGACAAACGTATACGGTATGGTGGTGTGTCCTCACCTCTGACATCGTTACCTTCATGTTGGGGGACCAGCTACCTAACCACTATAAACACGGAACCGTAATAATGTTATTCGAAGGCGAAATAAATATCAACAGTGAACACGGGATTAACGAGGTGGATGCCATTTCAATCGTTTAACACATCTCTCTATGAGGAATGTTTTTTAACAATTAATTATTATTTTGTCATATTTGTATATACCATCTAAAACAAAGAAATTATCCTTGGGAATTTAACATTCATGTGATAAAGATAACTTTTTTCAAAAGAGAACAAGAGGCGTTTATTTAATTTTCGATAATGTTGTAATAATATCCTTAATCCATGTTCTGATTTTATAAACAAGCGCACAATTAATGTTTAAAAAAAACTTGAACTTTAACAAAAACAAATACAACAGGACATCATGAACACAAAACAAAACCGGAGACGAAACAGGTGCTTAGCAGATGTGGCCATTCTTTTGACCACATGTGGCACCATCATGATGTCTCCCGTCACCACATGTGGCACCCGTCATGAAGTCGAATCAAGGAAAATATAAAGGCAACCAACAATATAGGACATAATAAACATGTCCTTAATTTTGGTAGAAACTAAAATTGCAAAAGGGGAAACAGGTCTAGTCACAACGGTGATATTTTTTACAGTGTGAATTGAAGATTTTCTGGTAGGAAACCCTGTATACGTAATTCAATTATCAACAAATTGCCTGTTTTCATCATTGCGTTATGAATAGTGTTGTGATTTACCTCTGTGGAAAACTTCTGGACGTAGAATATGAGGTACGCTGCTCCACCAAGCATGGCGAGGATAAGGAAGTTAACTAGGAATCGTTTTGTGTAGAGGCCACACTTCTGGTTTGATGTCATGTTTTTCCTTGTCTTTCTAAACTTAGATTCTGCCAGTTCTGCCTGTCATTATAAGTAATGAAACACACAATAAGAATAGAAGATTTTATTTTTCATCATCATATCATCATCATCATCATCATCATATCATCATCATCAACAACAGCTGGACAGGATTTCTACCTCATAGGAAATCAGTACCCAAATGGGTTATATGGTTGGATCTCACTTTTACCTAACATCTTGCCAGTCCAATCATATTTTTGCCATCATAATCATCCTATTAAAATTGCTCCTTTTATACTTCTTATTTTGATCGTAATACTGAATTTAACATCGGAGAAAAATAGAGACTATTGATAATTGGGAATTAAAAATGTAATATATCTTTGAATTATATGAAAGTAATGTGAAATCCGGTAGTGCACCTCACCTTGTTAAATAGTCTAGGAAAACAATTTATCAAGTGGTGCAACTTATATAATCGTTTAAAATTAAACAAGGCAATGGCAACTTATTTTTTTTTGTATTAATCCTGTCTATCTAGCATCAAAAATTTGTACGAGGACACTTTTCTCTGTATTTCATTCATAATTATCTCTTGTTATTAAGAGTTTTCAAATCCCAGTTATAGTTATAATATAGTTTTATATAGTTATAATATAGTTTTATATAGTTATAATATAGTTTTGTATAGTTATAATATAGTTTTGTATAGTTATAATATAGTTTTATATAGTTATAATGTATTTTTTATATAATGCAAATAGAAACTTACCACGATGTCTTTATATACACTTTTCTGTTTGATAGTACTCCACAGTTCCTCGGTGACGGAGTAGTCCCAGCTACAGAACAGCTTCACGTTATAGGTGTACCGTACGGCGTCCCCAGTTTTTGCAATATTCTCTCTAAAGCCCTTAACACTCCTGCAGCAGAAACAAACGTTGTATACGTTACGACAATCGTTCTAGGTTTTGGCTTTAATTATCAATGGGCCGTCAAAGAATACAATACAAAATCGTTCCAGTTTACACCAGCTTTATATAAAAACAGTCAAAATGTGACCAGGTGGATCAGACAAATACTTACGCCTGTGCCATAACTACCAGGGAAATGATGAAGATGACAATGACCGTCAAAAATATAGCCAGTGGCATGATGTAATTAAAGTTGTGACTGCCAACTGTACCCATGCTGTATTCGTTAGCGTCGTACCAACCCAGAAACAAGGCCGTACTTTCCATCCAGCCCTGTAAACAATCATACACAAATTTTATTCAAAGATTATTAATAATTCATATTATTAATAAAACCATTCCAAGTCTTTTGAATCACAATTAGAAAATATAAACTATGCAAATCAACAAGCATATAACTCGTTATTATCAGGAAATTGTATATATATGACAAGATAAGGCTATTGTAAGTTACAATAGCTGGTACCTAACCCTTGTTCAAATTGTTTGGCAACAAATATATTCCAACTATAATAAACAAAATTAATCATTATAGGAAACACGTGTGTGCATGAGTAACAAGTTATGATTTCTTGTGTGAGGTAAAACCTAAACAAGGATGCAAAGAGAATCTGGTTGGTGTTCCTACATGGTGTTTCCAGTGTACTAACCGTTCCCTGGAGGAAGTCTACGATGAGAGAGGCTGCGTCGGTAGAGATGTTGACATCATAGTTAGCACTACAGGTCTGAGCAGTGGCCACATCAACGCCGCCGATACCTGTACCCGTCACCGCAACGGTGTAGCCGTTCGAAGAGAAATTCACAATCGCAGGTAGCGTCACAAAAATGAGCATCAGGACAAATATGGCGATGTTCAGCTTGAATAGAGTACGTAGGAACACAAAGTATGATAGCACACCCGCACCTTGCTGCCCTGTAAAATATAGAGGAATTAAAACTTGTGATAAAAAATATAACCAACTTCATTATAAAGTAAAACACTGCACAGCATTTGATACACATGTTAAAAAATACAAGACCGGTGTTTCAGTTTATTGAAAAAATAATTGTACAAGAAAAATATAACTGTAATACTGTCATGTGATCATATATTACCTACGGAATTAACTACGATCTGATATGGTATTGTTCTAAATAAGCGCGTCGTTCACGTTGAACAGATGGTACTCAGTAAGCGCCACATCCACGTTGAACAGATTGTACTAAGTAAGCGCCTCATCCACGTTGAACAGATTGTACTAAGTAAGCGCCTCGTTCACATTGAACAGACAGACGACCAATCAGTAAGACACCTAGTTACTTGTACTCTGTTGATTCATTTTGTAGAATTTGATACTGAAAATATTTTGATTCATTGTTTGAATATATCAATATTCGCAACTGTTTATATCAAATTATGCCGGTGTCAAGTGTCTACCTTAGGGCGAAGTTTAAATAAATTTCGCTGAAATGTTATAACCTTAATATATTACATGTAGCATGATGTCACACCAGGTCACATTACACTGATAACGGAAAAACAAAAAGAGTGCATATGAAGACACATTCGACAGGAACAAGTAGGAGGAGATAAAGGGCACAGATAGAAGTCCCAATTGCTGTACTCGTAGTACCAGATTAGTTGTGGTTCCAGACGCCCCCAGAATGAGGGCACTAACAATCCCCGACTCTATAGGAAACCAAACTTTAGTTACCACATGCCATATTTCAGTGGGACAACAGACAACATTTTCACTGAACTTATAGGGGATAACCAAACGTCTACCCCCTATATTGGTTTCTCAATGTTTGGGATTGTGAATGTAATATTCCACGGCTTTTAATAATTTTTGTATCCGTTTATAATACTCGCCGATTCGATCAAAGAAAAAAACAAGCCAAATGAATAATAATCACATTTGATAAAATTTAATTCATGTGTTCACGCCTAGCTAAAGTAACCCACGACTTGAACTTCAATAACACACAAGGAAACAAAAGTTTGAACTTGTTTTTGAGATAAGTTGTATTGAATAATATTGAATTTGACTCAACGTGTGCTAATTTTCTAGGAAGACTCGGCGCTTAGAGTAATCTGATCTAAGAATTGTGAAAATCATTGAACTCTTTTGCTCACAATCTAAAAAAAAAAGGAGAATAAAATTAAATGGTATTTGCTACACAGTACCTTGTCGCATTTGGATAGATTTAATAACTGTTTTAGTTGAAGTTTGAGTTCACTTGTTGGCTGAAACACCACCGTACAGTATTAAGGATAAGTCATGGTCACTTATGGTATATATGTATACTAGACTTGGTTCTTATACCGCAGACATCCGACAGTTTTGTTAGAATACAGCCACCGTTTGTGGTTTGACACTTTTCTAACCAAGATATAGTGAATAAGGTCTAGCAATTTTCTGTAAAGTATTTTAAAATTTATACAAAATATTATGAATATTATCATAAAATGAGAAGAAGACAAGCTTTTTGTTGTTCAAACAAGGGAGTATTTTGAAGATTATCATTCATTTTTTTTTTTCAACAAAAAATAGTTGATAAGGTTATAATACGGTGTTAGAGTCTTGTTTGTCCTCCACACAGGTTGATTTTCTCTGTTTCCCTTATCAGTAGCCCTATAACATCAAACGGGATCCCTCTATTTGCTGATTCAAATTTCCAACACAAATGTCGGGTTAACAACAATCAAACAATGACCGTCTGTTTAATCTAGATATATAACCTTAATGGTATAATAAATTAATAATCCAATTAACGACTTTATAAATTACGTAATAAAATATAAATATTTCCAACATGTTTTTATGGGAATCAGTATATGCCGCGCAACATGTGTGGTTCAATTGTAATAACAAACGCAAAATTTGTGTAATTCAAAATGTGTATTATCACGCCATTACATTACGAACGCGATATACGAGTCGTCTCTCCATGTTAGCCTTTCTAGACTGGAATGTTTGTGAGTGACCGCTTCACCACTACGTACTGGTACACTGTACCAGTGTTAAACTGCTAATCACGAGTCCAGTGCGTAAGTTCGATTTCTTTTGTAACGAATTGATTTTGCATTTCATGACGAGGCAATAAACTGCTTTATGAACTATTATATATGAATAATGGAGCTTGGTACAGTCGTAGAGGTTATTGATTCAGTTGACTCGGTTCTTAAACGCCGTTTTGGCATGTTTCTGTCTTGACTTACAGTAACCTGTCTCGTATATTTACCGGTACAACATCTAGGGCATCTCTCGTTAATCATTTAATACACATACGTTAACGAAATCACCTTCAGCGACAATTAAATGATATATATATATATAAACAGTGATGAATACAAGTCTCCAATATTTAACCCTATCCCCGAGCAGCATATAGGTGTATCATTGTTTATGATCAATTCGGGTTAATATCTTGTGCAAGCACTGTTTTTTCTATCGATTTACTTATTTCCAAAATAACGTTTAATTCTACTTTAACCTTTAGTGTGCGTATCATTACAAGTGTCAACACGTGCGTTGAAGACATCATTCTATCATTAAATGTAATTGAGATGCTTTAAATATGCTATTACATAATTATAATGTATTTAAACACATGCTATAAGTAAGATAAGCGTCATTAAGATAAAAGGACATGCCCTACCTATTTTACCAATATCACGAATCGACCTACTTTGTTTATACTGATATTTAAAGATTTGAGTTAGCACGACTTAGCCTTCATAGGACCACGCGGCAGGACAAAATAGTCATAAATACGGCAATGTTTTGACGCGATCTAGGTTACGATCACAACAACTATAATTGGGACATTGTGTGTATTGTGTCGGGTGTCACGGTGGGGGAACACTTTACGACTGGGTATATACAATACACCATTGACACAACGCTGTACAGGTACCCGTTGTAGGAAGACGTCATACAGATATACACAAACAGTAAATGCGATTGAACCATGTAAACAGAACGGGTGTCGATTTCATTTTTGTTATTGACAAATGATATTGGCAAATGAATATATGTATATCATTGATTCTGACCAGTCTGTGTTTTAACCTTTGCTAATAAACAGGATTTGTTCATTACATGATAAAAGTTCGGGGTAAGAAACAACTAGTGTTAGGTTTTCACACTGATAACACTTCTCATTCTCATCTACAGGTTGATAGACTTGTTTTATCACATAAAATCTTTTTATTTAAGAATGTTCAATGTCAATATGTAAGTTTACTTCAGTTTCTTGTATCTTATAACAATTCACTCCCGTACTTAGTGTTACACAAGGATTTGTCTAATCGATAAAAACGTTTTCATTCGAAGACTTTCACCAAAAAGACATTATATTTCCAGGATTGAAAAGTAGTGACACATATTGGGTTAGTCAGCGTTTGGCGTTTAAACTCGCCAGGGCTTATGCTTAAACAAATTGTGGAAGGTTTCGGGAAGTGATACTCCGAGCAACGGACGTGAAAATAAAAGTTGATTTAAGAATTACGCCAGGAGAGAGTAATATTGCGATTCATAGAGGGATTAAGGACATTATTCTTGTCAAGATAAAAAAAAAATTCTTGTGAGACACAATTTTACACGTCACGTTACGTATTCTGAACGAATCAGAATAAATCATCTTATAGTATAGTGTAATTAAGTCAATCCTTATGTGTTTTGGCTTATAGGGTCTCGTCAATATTTGATAAAGGTAGAGTTCGTTGATAAATTGTCGAATACCAAAGTTCGATGTAATATCATGCTGGGCGGTCAACGTTCACGGATAAAAAAGGTTTAAGTAGACGGTACCTAATATAACCTGGGATTCAAATTATCAATATTGTCTCAGCAATTTCGTATCAGGGGAAAGCCGTGTCAGTTTGCCCTACCTATAGTGTAAATAGCGAAACTACACGGGATGAGTGTACGCATGCCCGATATCTGACGTTATGATAGAGCATTCCTGATAATAAGTAACCTCAAGTAACCTATTTAAGGGTTTTAACTTTTTCCACCTTCTTCAAAATGGCGTTGTCTTACTCTTTCAGTTGGCATGAAACAAACTGAATTACGAGTAACAGGATTTAGAATGGATTATATCTCAAGGATGTGTTCAAACTACCATGTTAACACAATTTGCACAGATAAGATAAGATTTACGTTATTTAAACTAAGATTTGTTTGATTTAAAACAAAGAACTTAATCTCGTAAGAGCTTTTCACAGACACTATAACCATCTCAAAAGTAGATCCCCTGCTATGAACTGACTGAAGATGTCCCAAATATGGAAATGGAAGATGTAGGTCAAAAATTGTTACCCGATATAATCCAAGGTTGTTAGTTACCTTTTTACCGAATTAAAGTGTGTTATAAAGACTACGAATGTTATGTACTTCGCCTTAACATCATTCTTTAACATTATCACTGACTACAGACCTTCTGTTGATTAGATCGCTAAAGAATCTACATTTGAGACCGTTGTCCGTGCGTCACCTTAACCCTCCCATCTCCGTACACTTACCACAGCGTTCCATCTCTAATGAACGGTAATTATAATTAATGTACCAACTGATTGGGATGTTGGCTATAACTTTGTAATGTTGTTTTTATATATACTGTATTATTCATATGAATGTTATAAAAATGATTGTAAATGTGTAACGTAATAAAGGGTTTTATAGGCAGCTTACACGTTTACTGGCCATATGGTTTAATAAATATTCACTTTGCACCAACAAACAACATTTCAGAGTAGGCGCTTCTTTATTTCACATTTCTTGTAATAATTATAAATAGAATTATAACACTCATTCTACTGTTTCTGGATCGTGCTCAGAAAATTGTCACATGATGCTATGGACTTTGTTATCTGTCTTGATACTCTACACACTTCACTATAAACACCTAGATCATAGATTGTCGATGTTTTCAGCGATTAAAGGAAACTAAGTACGAGTCGTTGGGGGCCATAACAAGGTTTCATAATACATGGAATCTCAGATATATTACATAATGCGATACATAAGTAGGTTGTGTAGAGCTAGTATCCGAAATCCCTTATTATATGTTATATAGTTAGTACATTCTATTGAATCTATCATAAAAACATATGAAAGACGTATGCTTCATATAGTGATTTCAAGTGAGCGGAGGTCACAGCGAGGTTAACATAAAAAAATATATAAACGGAATCTCGGATTTATTTCATTATGACTAGTTAAGCAAAGCAAGGAGAAGGAACCTACCACCGTGTTCTGGTTTGAAGTTAGTGTATTTATATATGATATATCACGAAGGCCTGATTTGTACATTACAGTACGTACAAGAGAGAAGAGGTCATGGCCATGTTGCACAATACATGGGCGTATCACAATGATATGATCTAATGCTAGATATACTTATACATTTTCTGCAGGAGATCTTGAGTGTTACAAAGATGTTCTTTTTTTTTGTATCAATATCAATACCAGTTAGGAAAATAGCAGAACCTGTATCCATAACCGTAACCTCAGACTTCCTTAGGAGGTCCTCTGTCCTTTTTATTATCATATTAATATTGCCACAGAATGCTTTTGTTTTGCAGCTTTAAGTTGATCAAGGATCAATAATCTTTTGGAAAAAAACGACCTGTTTTATAGCGTCAGTAATCGCTACTAACTACATGTTTATAAGATGCCAGAATGGAGTTGTTATTTTGTGTACGACATCTAGGTGTCACACCTGCGAGTGACGGTATTTACTTAGTGTAGCGTGTATTTACATGCACCCGACGTAAACGAAATTAAATCAGACAGAGATTTAAACTGATTAGGTCATTTTAAAATAAAATAAAAATATCAAAGATATATAAACGAAATCGATGAATCCCTGGTAAGCCGAGCTGTTTGATGTGACAGGAATGCAAACAATAGCACTATCCGGCGTCCATTGTAATCTCTGTTCACTTCCGTCCTTTTGCTGTTTCGATAGGATTTTATGTATTTGGAAAAAAAAACCCATTTACAGTACAAAATATACAACAAGTCTATTTACCTTCGATTTTTTTGAAAGCAGTCCCCCATAACTCCAATTGGTACTGGAACTCTCTAAAGCCTATTTTGAATTTCTTCCAGTCCTGAAATATAAAAAAAACACACCATCGGTTTAACTCTAAAAGTACATGTCAATTAAGAGAATTAATAACACATTGTGTTGTAGCTAATATGAGTTAAAGAGGGATTCCTGTAGGTTTGTTCAAATCTTTCCACATACAATGTATACTAGCAGTGAAAGAGGTTTTGAAAAGTCAGAGCCAAAATAATAACAGTAATAATAATATTTATGGTTAGTTTGAGCCTATAATATGTAGTCGAATTAAGAAACGGTTCTCAAGTCTCGGTCGAACTATTATCATCTTTCATGCTCTTTATGTTACTCGTTCATAAACAGGAAAGTAAAAGGTGTGATTGTGTGACTGTACATGTCGAGACATGGTGAAATCAGAGAACATTTAACGTGAATGTACACCAGACCTTGTACCACACAAATACACCGTGTCCCACTGGTAAGGTTACAGCCAGATAGGATTATAAAACTACGGCGTTATAAGATTACTTCATAAATCTTACTCTTCGTATGCTTTATACACTGTATATTTTGCACTCGTTTTTTTTAATGCGTCTTTTCTCGTGAAATTTCCTTCAATAAGAAATGTTTAGAAAGAGTATGGCGAAGTGTAAAATATTTTGTAATAACCGGTAAAACTCGTTTGATATACACAACACATATATAGCATACGGGTAAAGGTAGTACAACACGAAATATGTTAAGTACTGATTTAGCATTTATATTTGTGTTAAAGGTAATGATTACGATCAGTTCGAGACTGGGTGACAACAAACAATCTGTTGATTTGTAAAGGGTGTTTTGTTTGCGGGAGAGGACTGCTTCAAGTTCGTCTTCATTTTTTCATCGACCAATAAATAATGTTTAATTTAAATAACAACTTATTTATGCCAGACCAGGTGAAAATAGATATTTTTAAGTAAGCTATATTTACTTAGTGGCTGAATTTATTATAAGCAGGCATGAACAATGTACACATAGTGTGGACATATTATAATTGATGCCACATATTTATATATTCGTTTATAGCATGGTTGCCTGTATTTTACCTTGGCTACATGTACGTGATCTGTATTGATACGGACATTGTGTTAATATCTCATTGTGTTAATATCTCATTGTCGATACATTGATACGGACATTGTGTTAATATCGCATTGTCGATACATTGATACGGACATTGTGTTAATATCTCATTGTCGATACATTGATACGGACATTGTGTTAATATCTCATTGTCGATACATTGATACGGACATTGTGTTAATATCTCATTGTCGATACATTGATACGGACATTGTGTTAATATCTCATTGTCGATACATTGATACGGACATTGTGTTAATATCTCATTGTCGATACATTGATACGGACATTGTGTTAATATCTCATTGTCGATACATTGATACGGACATTGTGTTAATATCTCATTGTCGATACATTGATACGGACATTGTGTTAATATCTCATTGTCGATACATTGATACGGACATTGTGTTAATATCTCATTGTCGATACATTGATACGGACATTGTGTTAATATCTCATTGTCGATACATTGATACGGACATTGTGTTAATATCTCATTGTCGATACATTGATACGGACATTGTGTTAATATCTCATTGTCGATACATTGATACGGACATTGTGTTAATATCTCATTGTCGATACATTGATACGGACATTGTGTTAATATCTCATTGTCGATACATTGATACGGACATTGTGTTAATATCTCATTGTCGATACATTGATACGGACATTGTGTTAATATCTCATTGTCGATACATTGATACGGACATTGTGTTAATATCTCATTGTCGATACATTGATACGGACATTGTGTTAATATCTCATTGTCGATACATTGATACGGACATTGTGTTAATATCTCATTGTCGATACATTGATACGGACATTGTGTTAATATCTCATTGTCGATACATTGATACGGACATTGTGTTAATATCTCATTGTCGATACATTGATACGGACATTGTGTTAATATCTCATTGTCGATACATTGATACGGACATTGTGTTAATATCTCATTGTCGATACATTGATACGGACATTGTGTTAATATCTCATTGTCGATACATTGATACGGACATTGTGTTAATATCTCATTGTCGATACATTGATACGGACATTGTGTTAATATCTCATTGTCGATACATTGATACGGACATTGTGTTAATATCTCATTGTCGATACATTGATACGGACATTGTGTTAATATCTCATTGTCGATACATTGATACGGACATTGTGTTAATATCTCATTGTCGATACATTGATACGGACATTGTGTTAATATCTCATTGTCGATACATTGATACGGACATTGTGTTAATATCTCATTGTCGATACATTGATACGGACATTGTGTTAATATCTCATTGTCGATACATTGATACGGACATTGTGTTAATATCTCATTGTCGATACATTGATACGGACATTGTGTTAATATCTCATTGTCGATACATTGATACGGACATTGTGTTAATATCTCATTGTCGATACATTGATACGGACATTGTGTTAATATCTCATTGTCGATACATTGATACGGACATTGTGTTAATATCTCATTGTCGATACATTGATACGGACATTGTGTTAATATCTCATTGTCGATACATTGATACGGACATTGTGTTAATATCTCATTGTCGATACATTGATACGGACATTGTGTTAATATCGCATTGTCGATACATTGAAAGTTACTGAAATAACTTAAATTGTACATTGTCACGCCCGTCTTTGTGTGCGCTGCATCGGTCATGAATAATTAACTTTTGAGGTGGTTTTTTTGCATATTGTCTGTTAAACTGTATGTAAAGACGACGATCTACATACAAAGAACAGCGTTGTATTTACTGCCGTGTGTACTCACCAACTTCCGCCGATACGCCCATCCGGCACACCCTCCGACCTTTTTTACAGGCTTATCTGTTAACTTGGACCTTCAAGTCAAATACGTTATAAAATAATTTGCTTGTACAATATATATGATTTCATTCAACAAAATATTGAAATCAAAAACAATACACACGAATTTTGAATTTATCGTAAATATTTTTCTTTAAAATTTCAATGATATCCATAATGATAACACACAAGCTGATTATATAGTTTGTTTTCAATTATAATATGACAAAACTGGTATAATGTTTATCAATGGGTGAAGATCTATTAATCATGATCATGTAATTCATTTAAAGGATGTTAAGAACAATGGTGGTGGTGGTGGTAATGATGATGATGATGATGAGGAGGAGGAGGAGGAGGAGGAGGAGGAGGAGGAGTTGGGGATGCAGTTTCCATTATAGAGACTGTATAATATTAAATTAAATTCAACCTGTATAATATGCTGTTTGTTCGATCCCTTTGGATGTTTATATATAAATAGCTGTAATACGCCGTGGTCATTACTATAGCTTGTTTGGTATATAGATGTTCAATGGAGTGTAAAATTGGATATGGATTATCATCAGAACAGCTGTAAAAATAGAAATTTGATAACAAACACGCCTCATAAACTACACTAAATATGTATAAGGTATCTTTTTTTGGACATACACCTTATCACGACTACACAATCAACTAACAAAGTGTATACGACAGATAAATCAATCGTCTCATGTGTAAAATAATGATCGATTTGTAACATCATCAGTTTAGCGATCGATAATGTTTATTGCGCTTCCGGTATTAAGCTTTTGTAACATTATCAAATCAGATAAAGATAACTGTATTGTTTTCATACATTGACATCAAGGTCTATTGCACAACGTCACTTTAGAAAAGAACCGGATGTATCCCGTATATAGCACTACCTTGTATTGCTACTATCTTTATATAACTTTAACTCGTATGCACTACCTTGTATTTTTACTACCTGTATATAACACTAACTCGTATATAGCCCTACCTTGTATTGTTCCTACCTGTATATAACGTTAACTCGTATATAGTACTACCTTGTATTGCTACTATCTGTATATAACTTTAACTCGTATATAATTGTCGATACAATGATACGGACATTGTGTTAATATCACATTGTCGATACATTGATACGGACATGGTGTTAATATCTCAGTGTCGATACATTGATACGGACATTGTGTTAATATTGCATTGTCGATACATTGATACGGACATGGTGTTAATATCTCAGTGTCGATACATTGATACGGACATTGTGTTAATATTGCATTGTCGATACATTGATACGGACATGGTGTTAATATCTCAGTGTCGATACATTGATACGGACATGGTGTTAATATCTCAGTGTCGATACATTGATACGGACATTGTGTTAATATTGCATTGTCGATACATTGATACGGACATGGTGTTAATATCTCAGTGTCGATACATTGATACGGACATGGTGTTAATATCTCAGTGTCGATACATTGATACGGACATTGTGTTAATATTGCATTGTCGATACATTGATACGGACATGGTGTTAATATCTCAGTGTCGATACATTGATACGGACATGGTGTTAATATCTCAGTGTCGATACATTGATACGGACATGGTGTTAATATCTCAGTGTCGATACATTGATACGGACATTGTGTTAATATCTCATTGTCGATACAATGATACGGACATTGTGTTAATATCTCATTGTCGATACAATGATACGGACATTGTGTTAATATTGCATTGTCGATACATTGATACGGACATGGTGTTAATATCTCAGTGTCGATACATTGATACGGACATTGTGTTAATATCTCATTGTCCGTATCATTGTATCGACAATGAGATATTAACACAATGTCCGTATGCAATATACGAGTTAATGTTTTATACAGGTAGTAACAAAACAAGGTAGTGCTATGTACGAGTTAATGTTATATACATGTAGTAACAATACAAATAAGTGCTATATACGAGGTAATGTTATATACAGATAGTAGCAAGACAAGGTAATGCTATATACGAGTTATTGTTATATACAGGTATTAACAATACAAGGTAATGCTATATACAAGTTTATGTTATTTACTGGTAGTAACAATACATGGTAGTGCTATATACGACTTAATGTTATATACAAAAAGTAAAAATACAAGGTAGTGCAATATACGAGTTAATGTTTTATACAGGTAGTAACAAAACAAGGTAGTGCTATGTACGAGTTAATGTTAGATACAGGTAGTAACATATATACGAGTTAAAGTTATATACAGATAGTAGCAAGACAAGGTAATGCTATATACAAGTTTATGTTATTAACTCGTATATAGCACTACCTTGTATTGCTACTATCTGTATATAACTTTAACTCGTATATAGCACTACCTTGTATTGTTACTACCTGTAAATAACATAAAGTTGTATATAGCACTACCTTGTATTGTTACTATCTGTATCTAACATCAACTCCTATCTAGCACTACCTTGTATTGTTACTACCTGTATAAAACATTAACTCGTATATTGCACTACCTTGTATTGTTACTACATGTATATAACATTAACTCGTATATAGCACTACCTTGTATTTTTACTACCTGTATATAACATTAACTCATATATAGCACTACCTTGTATTGTTACTACCTGTATATAACAATAATTCGTATATAGCACTACTTTGTATTGTTACTACCTGTATATAACAATAACTCGTATATAGCATTACCTTGTATTGTTACTACCTGTATATAACATTAAATCGTATATAGCACTACCATGTATTGTTACTACCTATATATAACATTAACTCGTATATAGCACTACCTTGTGTTGTTACTATCTGTATATAACATTAACTCGTACATAGCACTACCTTGTATTGCTACTATCTGTATATAACATTAACTCGTATATAGAACTACCTTGTATTGCTACTATCTGTATATAACATTAACTCGTATATAGAACTACCTTGTATTGCTACTATCTGTATATAACTTTAACTCGTATATATGTTACTACCTGTATATAACAATAACTCGTATATAGCATTACCTTGTATTGTTACTACCTGTATATAACATTAACTCATATATAGCACTACCTTGTATTGTTACTACCTGTATAAAAGATTAACTCGTATATAGCACTACCTTGTATTGTTACTCCCTGTAAATAACATAAACTTGTATATAGCACTACCTTGTATTGTTACTACCTATATATAACATTAACTCGTATATAGCACTACCTTGTATTGGTACTACCTGTATATAACATTAACTCGTATATAGCACTTCCTTGTATTGTTACTACCTGTTTATAACATTAACTCGTATATAGCATTACCTTGTATTGTTACTACCTGTATATAACAATAACTCGTATATAGCACTACCTTGTATTGTTACTATCTGTATATAACAATAACTCGTATATAGCACTACCTTGTATTGTTACTACCTTGTACCTGTATCGTATTGTTACTACCTGTATATAACATTAACTTGTATGTATTGTTACTATCGGTATATAACATTAACATGTATTTAGCACTACCTTGTATCATAGCACTCTAAATGTGTGTATACTTAACAGTTAAAGTATGCATGGTATGAGGGATTTAGTTTATGATCCCCCGAGGCTAGGACCCTTTCCCAAGGCGAAGCCGACGGAAATAGTCCTGGACGAGGGGGATCATAAACATGCTATATCCCGAAATACCCATACTTCAACTGTTTTATTATACTGATACAAACACTCCCTTACAATATTCTAAATATTATTAAACAACAAATTTTCAACAGTTGGGACACTTTATTAACAAAACTAATATTTTATTGAGAAATTCGATTGCGCTGATTGGTCAAAAGTCGGTCAGGCCCCGCCCACGACGTCACTCAATTTCCCGCATTTTCCGAGGGAAATAGTTTCAAAACTATCGCACCCCTCCAGACAAACTATTTCCCTGGCATGCAGTTAGAGGGGAAATAGCTTGTTTTTGCGGTTACGTTTGTATAGTGTAAAATAAGTAGAGGTATATAAATGTACATATAACACTACCCGTTTAGAACATTACATCGTTTATATAACACAACCCATATATAAAGTTACGTCGAATGTGTAACATTATCCCGGATATCATATAGACATTTATATATACATCACAATATATAGATACCGCCATATTGTTTTACAGGCCTCAATGGTTGAATCATAACCGTTGAGGACGTCAGTGGTATGCGATATTGTCTCAGTGCTCATATTTTGAACAGCGGACCAATATCCTCTAAATGACGTCACTTTTATTATAATGTCACAGTGTGACAAATGCAACTTACTTTCTTTTAGTTTAAACATATTTTATTGGACAAATATACAAATGGATTGGACAACAAGGAGGGGATGGGGGTTACCTAGAAAAGAAATCGTGTAAACTGTGAAAAGGATCCGCATTTGAATAAATTACAAATTATACAAAATTTCATGACATGCAGCCCGGTATAGTAATTTTATAATGAACAAGATCAATGTAATAAAGTAATCAGGCAAAATAATGAAAAGCAATTTCATAAACATATATAACAACGTACACATATAAATAAAAATAAGGAATGATAATTATAATTATCAAAACCTAGAACACAGAACTTTCTTTCTGACAATATTCCTATGTTCCATCTTGCTTAGTAATAAAAATTATAATTTTATATCAAGAATAACATTTCAGGACTTTTATTTCGGTGAATATGTAATTATATGGACCTGAAAAGTGATGGTGACCTCGACTCGGTCGATATACATGTAGCTCTCTCAGGTTCATATAACCACATATTCACGTCAACAGAAGTCCATAATTGATAAATACATGTAAACCTCGTTTAATAAAACACTACCTCGAATGTTACACTACCATTACACTTTGAATACATTGTACTACCGTAGCATTAAAGCTTGCCTACCTTCTGACAGTAAGCGGGGGTGTCCAAGCAGTTTCTTGTTTAGGGTTCACTAATAATGTTGCAGGTCGTGCTTTGGGTAAAATAGCAGTTTTAACCGTGGATAACCGGACCCCATTCGCTGACGTCACGGGGGATGTCTGAAGGGTTTCATTACCCGGTGAAGTCACTTTCCGGGTGAAGGGTTCGGCCGAAGTTGGATGGACTACGTTCTGCCTAGCTGCCCACATTTACAGATATGTCGATTTTGTTATTATAAACAATAAATAGTACCGGTCACACCAACCACGATACTTGTAGAGGTCCGTGCCACACTGGACAGCGGCTCCAACGAGGTCACAGTCCTGTAAAGTGTATCCGGGGTACCACGGGAACACACGCTGGCTTTATATCAAACAAAGTCCTTCTAAAAAAGTCAGGGTTAACTTCCAATGTCTCGCGATTTGAAATATTTCCTTTTACGATTCAAATGAAAAACATAAATATTCCATATCACGAGGCAGGTTTCTAAATGCGTTCTAGTCCGAGCATGTCCTTCGCACGGATTGTTTCTCACGTATATACGTACGACACGGTGAGTTGATCTCACGCGGAGCTTGTCTGATGTTATACACTATTTAGCACCAGCTCTTATAGGACACACCTCTATCAATAATTAAGTGATGTCGTAATGTTCTGACTTACAGCAGCACGCGGAGTCCCGGGTAAATCATCCTTACAAACTACCCAACAGCCCTCACATCCGTTGGGGTTTTACAGTAAATTAAATGACTTATTGTGGACAAACTGGTGTATTTTTACAGTGATCGCCCGCATACCAATGTATAACCGTCTGTCACCCATTGACAGAATAATGAGTCTATTGTTTAACTTTTTGTTTAAAGCCGTTACGGGTTGTTTGTAAGGTTGTATAGCCATGTAAAGCTTTGAACATGTATCAAACTGTAGTCTGACTAAACACGCATTCAGATATCCGGAATAAAGAGGTAATGTCATGGAATCGGAAATGAAACAGTTTCCCTTGTTGTACGTATGCATTTGTTTTATTAATATGGAGGAATCCGAGCTAAACGGCTCCAGCACATCGAAATATCGGCCAATGTTCCTCACACACGACACCCTGTTCTGACATTGTCATTGACCATCATCGGCACAATTCATGTTATATTTCAACGCCCCTCTCGTATTTCGTAAATGCAATCTCGCAACATTGTTACAACGACTAATAGCTATGAAGACTGAGAACTCGCTACAAGTGAAGCCTTACCCCACCTCAGGTTGAAGAAATCGAACTGTGGTAAGGTATTAAAGGGTAGTGGTTGTGGTGGGTGATAATAGTGATGATGGTGGTGGTGAGGATGTGATGGTATTGGAAGTAGTGAGTGGTGGCTGTGATGAGGATGAGGATGATGACGCTTACCTGAACTTCCGTTTCTGTTGAAGCGAACAAGGCAAGGTCTTAATGAGTTGCAATGTCTTGTAAACATCCTCCTCATCATCAAAGTTCTTAACGCGAATGCCTCTCTTGGAGAGCTCCTTTAGATCCGGATCAAGATCACCATATTCTTCCGCTTCCGGATAAACTGCGTTGGGACTTCGGGACTTCCGGCTAGTTGACTCCTGTTTTCTGGCCATGGTTATGCCTACGAATGAGGTCAAAGCCTGCTTGCTAGGTAACAGGGAGAAGATGTGGTTACCTTTGCTCTTGTGTGTAATTCCCCCTTCGTCGTTTGTGTCCGACCGGATCTCTCCTGCAATTGGTTAATTGATCTATCAGTGTCACGTGATATGAGCCTAATACGAGACACTTCCGGAGAATCAAATCTGTACGGATTGATTAACGTTAAACAAACACAACCTGGTTTGATCACAATCCTAGTTACTTAGCCAGGCTAATAACGTCCACATAGTTTGAGTAATAATTACCGGGAGGCAACTTCACTATTGTATAAATGTTTCCCTTACCAGCATTTAATTAATAGCAAAACATGCTCAAGTGGATACATTGCTTAGGTGCAAATATTTAAAGACCATCTCTAAAAATAGAAAACTCATTTGTATTACACGATAAAGGTATCTGATGTTTAAAACGTTTGAAACCATGAGTCGATAAGGCTAATATTATTTTTACTCAAGATTGAGTTCACATTTTTGTCGTACAAATAGTCAAGTTTGATTTTTTTTAACAGAACTCTAGCTAAATTATTATTTGGTAAAAAAATTGTATGGATTTTTTTTTTACCGATTTTCAATTTTTGTTTGTTATAACGTGTGAGATAATTGCTCATAAGGAGTCAGTGCAATGTACCGAGAATGTACCACGGTATATCACAGTATTTGACGATATACCACGTAAATTACATAGTAGTACTACCATGCTTCAAACAGGTACATTTGTATAAATGCTTCATAATTGGTGTACCGGCAACCTATTACTGAATATCGCGATGCATTAGTGTACCGCTAACCTTCTGATTACCGCGATGAACAGGTATACTGCTAATTAATAATTATAATAATAGTTCGAGGTTCTCAACCTAGTTCTTAGGTCGTCTCACAGCGATTCACAAATTATTATCTGTAGTTATAGGGCCTTCGCAATCACCCAATACCTTTCTCAACTCCCTGGGGAGCATACAGCCGGTGCTTCCATTTCGGCGCTCACATCTAGCATTCAACAGCTGAGTAGACTAGAACAAGCGGGGTTAAGTATCTTGCTCAAAGATACAACACAGTGCCATGACTCGAACCCGCAACCCATCAGTCACGAGCCCGGCATCCTACCACTAGAATACTGCTGGTATACCGCTTATCTATTGAATACCGCGATAAACTGGAATATGAGGGTGGGAGTGGGGAAGCAAAGTCGTGACACAAGGCAGATTCCACTGGACCACCAATTAGACACGTTGCTGTAACGGTCAACTAACATTTCAAGTTTTGCATAGTTTACCTAGGATTATTATACTCTATCTCTCGCCCTGTGATTTTGTGACCAAGAACATAAAGTAAAATTTACGAAGACACCGGTATGAATACTGCCATTCTCGCCCATTCATGGGTCAGCTGGAATTTAATATAGATAAATAATTTTGGATCACACTGATCAAATGTTTGTTTCAGTGTAGAAGTGACATACGCCGTTAAGTAGACATAGTAGTGTACTTTAACATTTATAGACCAGACAGATTGCCAATGTACTATTTTAGTAGAGGCCGAGAACGACAGACTCAAGTTATATTGTACGACACCGGAAATCGGAGTTCATATCGAGGCAAGGTTTCAGCTCATGTTCCGCACTTTAATCTGTTCGTACAATGGTATATAAATTATTCATGACTAAGGCCATTATAGGACAATAAATAACTGCCAGTTGAAGGTCGATAGTTGTACAACCTATTCGTATTAAACAATGGACAGTCCGCTGTGCTGTAGAACATTATTTTCTATGTACAGGTAAACCTGCTGTTTACAACGCCCCCCAACACACTCATATCAATACGCATTATCCCTCAAACAGTAGACATGAATTCATTCGCCTTAATTCTTCATACCCCGTCTTATATCACAAACACTTATATATCCCTATCACACACCATTACACACAAATTATTGGTACAAACATATTGTCTAACTTTGTGTTTCATTATTGTACTTGTATAGGAAATTAAGCGTTATTTAATAACGTATAAAGGGCATCGGTAGAAAACCTCTATTTTAAACCGAAACGTTATCATATATACACACTTTGTTATGTCCAGTATACGTTTATATTATTTTTTTTACACCAGTGCATATTTACACGAAATAATACATTACTATGTCAACACGTACAAGTTTACATAACAAAGACGGCATCTACGCAAATACAGGTTTTCACGAAAAAATTACGTGATAAGCCAGCATACGTAAGTTTACAGGACACTATACATATTTTAACAACACTGATCGTGAGTAAATACAGTCTGTCATTATAAATCAATTACGAGCGTGATATAACGTGATACGAAAGAAAGTTTATATAGAACATCAGGCTTATTTGTTCACATCTTTACCATGTATAGGGCTAGTACCATGCTTAGGGTTAGTTTATGTCTTTACCGTGTATAGGGCTAGTACCATGCTTAGGAGTAGTTTATATATTTACCGTGTATAGGGCTAGTACCATGCTTAGGGTTAGTTTATATATTTACCGTGTATAGGACAAGTACATGTACCATGCTTAGGGTTAGTTTATATATTTACCGTGTATAGGGCTAGGACCATGCTTAGGGTTAGTTTATATCTTTACCGTATATAGGGCTTGTGCCATGCTTAGGGTTAGTTTATATCTTTACCGTGTATAGGGCTAGTACCATGCTTAGGGTTAGTTTATATCTTTCCCGTTAATAGGGCTTGTACCATGCTTAGGGTTAGTTTATATCTTTACCGTATATAGGGCTTGTACCATGCTTAGGGTTAGTTTATATCTTTACCGTGTATAGGGTTAGTGAACATAATAATATTTACCACGTATAGGGCTAGTAAACGTCTTTAACATGTATAGGGCAAGTTAATGTACCATGTTTAAGGTTAGTTCACATATTTACCATGTACACGTATGGGTTAGTCCATATCATTACCATTTGTAGGATTAGTTCACATCTTAACCATGTAAAGGGATAGTTTATATCTTTACCATGTGTAGGGTTAGTTCACATCTTAACCATGCGAAGGGTTAATTCACATATTTACCATGTAAAGGGATAGTTTATATCTTTACCATATGTAGGATTAGTTCATAACTTTACCATGTATAGGGTTAGTTCACATCTTTACCACGTATAGGGTTAGTTCACCTTTTTACCATGTGTAGGGTTAGTTCACATATTTACCATGTATACGGTTAGTTCACATCTTTACCATGTATAGGGTTAGTTCACATCTTTACCACGTATAGGGTTAGTTCACATTTTTACCATGTGTAGGGTTAGTTTACATCTTTACCATGTGTAGGGTTAGTTCACATCTTTACCAAGTATAGCGTTAGTTCACATCTATACCATGTGTAGGGTTAGTTCATATCTTTACCATGTGTAAGGTTAGTTCACATCTTTACCATATATAGGGTTAGTTCACATGTTTACCATATATAGGGTTAGTTTACATCTTTACCATGTAAAGGGATAGTTCACATCTATACCATGTGTTGAGTTAGTTCACATATTCAAATTTGTAAAGGATAAGACTTAAATTATAGTTCAATGTTAATTGTCATTATTCTGCAAACACATGTCTACGATTTCGATATTCATTTAAATACTTACTACTATCAGTGGGCATGCCCCGGTTCTTACTGTTAACTGTTTTTTTTATACAGGTTATATATAAATGTATAATTTGATATTGGATTAATATAATGGTACATAAGTATACTATAAGACGTACCTTGCGTAGCTACAAACCAATCGAATATTCTGTGAGACGCCATGTTGCTTAACCAGTTCACCCGAGTTTCTAAGAATTCCCTGGTACTGCACGATACCAAAAAAAGGCACAGTGACGTCCTCTATGAATAATTGATGCCAGAAAATGAACAATCGGGTAACGATAACTGTTCTACGCGTTAAATTCTAAAACACGCCTTGGCTGATGATGGCATTCTTCATTCAGCGCCTGCACCACAGGTCAAATAGCCCTGACCTACTGTAAAGGCACACTGACAGCTCTCTCTGGACACGGGACGGTGCCTCGCGCACAGAAAGGACGTGCAATGATATCGTTCACAAATGACGTGTTTCCACTGTACCAAGGTGTAGTTGCCCATCAGTTAGGTCCTTTTGTATTTACGGCTTAACGATGTACCATAAACCG